TTACAATAGTGTTATTAGTTATATGGGTTTTCATGCCTGTTAAGATTTGTCTTATATAATTTGGAGCTCTGATATTTGGTACATACATGTTTATGATTGCTATCTCATCCTCTTGCAGTTTTCCATTGACTAGTATGTAGTGACCTTCTTTATCTCTTTTGATTGTTGTCAGCTTGAAGTTTACGTTGTTTACAAACAGAATAGCTACACTGCTTTTTTCTGGGTTTCTGTTGCATGGAGGATTGTTTTCCATCCTTTGACTTTTACTTTGTGGATTTCTTTTTCATTGAAATGTGTTTCCTGTATAGAGCATATCTTTGGATTTTGTTCATTAATCCACTCTGCCAGTCTGTTTCTTTTGACTGGAGGATTCATGCCATTTAGATTTATAGTTATTACTGTTATGTATTGATTTATCGTTGTCATGTTATTTACTTGCATTGGTGTCCTACTTTTTTTACCTGTTTACTTGCTTGGTCTTCTTGACGTTTCATTTTTACTGTTGTTCTTGTTGTCAGATTTTTCTTGGTCTAGAATATCTTTCAATACTCTTTGTAATGCTGGCTTGACACTCATGAAGTTCTTTAATTGTTCTTTGTTATGAAGATACTTTATTTCTCCGCTGGATTTGAGGGATATTTGGCAGGGTACATCAGTCTTGATTGGAAGCTGTGTTGTCTCAGTAACTGTAATACTTCACTCCAAGCTCTTCTCGATTGGCTGGTTTGTGCTGAGAAGTCTGCTGTGATTCTGATGAGCTTCCCTTTGTAGGTAATCTGTTTCTTTTCTCTAGCAGCTTTTAGTATTCTGTTCTTTTGCTGTAGATCAGGGAACTTGAGTATTATATGTCTGCATGTAGCTGTTTTTCGGTTGTGGTTCATTGGAGTTCTGTATGCATCAATTACCTGTGTATCAGGTCTGTTTCCATGCTTGGGAAATGTTCTGCTATTATTTCTTCAAATATTCTTTTTATGTCTTTTGTGTTGCCTCCTGCTGTTCCATTGACTCTTATAAGTTGTACATTATTCCTCTTTGCCTCATCTTGCACATTTGAACTGACTTTTCCTGTGTACTTGTTGATTTTATGAGATCCTTTCTTTCATGGTCACTACCTGTCTTCAAAGTCTGAGATTCTATCTTCAGCTTCATTGAAGCGGTTTTGGCAGCTTTCAATGGAAGCTTTGTTTTCTTGGAAATCTCTTTGAATCTGGTTCATGTGTTCTAAGTTCTTTCTGTATTTTTCATTTACTACTTCTGTGCATCGCCTTTGTTGTTCTATTTTCTTATGTGTTTCTTCTTCAGACTTTTTGAGCATTTCCTTCATTTTTATTGTCCTTTCACTTATTGCCTGAGAGATTATATCTGGTCTCATCTATTCTATGACCTTGTGGAGTTGCTTCTTTACTTCCATTGCAATCATTTCAGCTATTTCGGGCATATGTTTACTAAGTTCTCCTAAGCTGATGTCTCCTGAACTTGTTCTGTTTGGGGTGGAGTTCTGGGATCCTGTTTTAGTCCTTCATTTTGTCATGTTTGCTACTGGATGCTGATAGCTCAGTTTCCCTCTTCAGTGGCTGCACAGCAAAGGCCACTAGTCTTCCTAGTTTTCCTGTTGGTCAGGTTTGCCCCTCAGTGACCCCTCAGAAGCATTACGTAGTCTCGGGTTTTCTGGCAGTTGTTGATTTGTGTCTAGTTATATTAGGTCTCAGACGTGGGCATTGGTGTCAGCTGATGGCAGACCATCTGATGCAGTATCCCCTTGCAGTTCAGGGCACGTGCATGGCCCAGACTCACGTTGCACTGGTGTGACAATCCTGGTCCAGTGGACCTATGTCCCCAGGCAGTTCTGGGTACAGGCAAAACCCAGACCCAAACTGTAGGGTCAACAGTTTGTGAAACACCTGATTCTGTGTCTCCAGTCAGTTCAGGATACATACAGGAACCAGATGCAGGCTGGACGGCCAGCAATCACAGTCTGCCAGTGCCTGCAACCCCCTAGAAATTCTGGGTGCAAGTGTAATGGACTCGAATCGCTGGACCGGCAGCTTGGAGCCCTCGCTCACTGGGCGCAGGGCATGCATAGGGAGGGGCCGCACGTGCCTCTCCCCAGCTAGAGCAGTCCCTGGGGCTTCTGAGTGAGGACCTCCTGTCTGCTGTGGGTGCAGGGAGGGCAGAGACTCAGTCTGTAGTCTGTACCTCTTTTTTATGCATCATATAAAACCCTAGATCATCAGAGATCAAGGCCTGATATTTTGGGATAGATCCCAATCAGTGCCCATCATTGTAAAATAAATATGCCTCCAAATCCTGGGTGTTGTTTTTGTGTTTATGATTGCCATAGCAAGCTCACCCCAGTTCATTAGGCAGTGATTTAATTTAATGCCATCCTTCTAACTATCAAATCAATGCCAGTGAAGTTTGGGTGGTGAACAAGAAATCTAATTCAGGTGCTGGCCCTTTATGGTGACTTTCATGACTCATCCAGTGAAAGACACTGTTAACCACCCAGAATAAGATGTCTGACATTTCCAGCATATTTTTTCTCACAGCCCACCATTCTGGTAGGGCACTGGTCAGTGTCAGTCTGCCACTCCTTCCTGGATTATTTTCAGTTTACTTCCATCTCCTATTCTCAACCCTGGTAATCTCATCATTTTTGTGTCAGTCAGACACCAGACCCCACTGCTGCTCTGATGCAAGATATTCTAATCTTATCCAGGAAGCTCTGTGCAACAAAAGCATACTGCTACCAACTACTTGGTTGACGTAGAAAGTCTGATTTTTCGTATAAAAGTAGCCATTAATATGATTCTCTTTCCTCAGAGAATCCACAGCTCCGCCTGATAAATGGAGGCAGTCGCTGTGCTGGAAGAGTAGAGGTGCTTCACCAGGACTCCTGGGGAACCATTTGTGATCACAGCTGGGACACAACTGAGGCCGAAATAGTGTGCAGACAGCTCAGCTGTGGAGCAGCCCTGGATGCTGTATTCTCTGCTCACTTTGAGGCTGGATCTGGCCCCATCTGGTTGCAAGGGCTAAGATGCACAGGACAAGAGTCCCATTTTTGGAAGTGCCCTTCCTTAGGCTGGAACAACACCTACTGCAGTCATGAGGATGATGCAGGAGTCATCTGCTCAGGTATGGTCAGTGCATTGTCCACTGCATGGGTGAATAGAAAGTTTCAGAGAAGTAAATGAAGGACCTCTTGGAAATAGAGAATGGATAGGTTGTAAAAGACTGGCAGATGTGTCAGTAGGTCACTCAGTGCACTCTAGGTTGATGGATTTTCCCTTATGTATCTTTACTGCTGTTTTTCTTTCCCCTTTGGTCATACCCAAAAAAGAAGCTTATTCTAGCATCATGCCAATTAAATTAAATTTTATAGGGTACTTGAGCTGGCCTTCAACCTCTTAAAGCAAGTTATGGAAAAGGGTTAAATAAAAAGAGACAAATAGTATGGTTTTGGGGGATCCAGAAAGGTCAGAACTCTCTATAAGTAAAGAAGAATTTCCCCAGACAGAGAATATTTATTAGGTTTCCATAAATTTTGGGGGTGCAGGAAGTGGAGGTTAGGAAAGCCCATGAAAGAAGTTACAACAAAGGAAACATAGATTGCTAATTAAGAGAACTGTTTGATCTCTGAGGCTGACCATTTATTATTGCCCTAGAATATTCAGTGGCCTGTGGTTGCAGCCATATCTCGTCTGCAGAGACTGTGAATCTAGAGAGCGTTGGTTAAATGTTTAACCCTTACACAGCCTCGTCTCCAACAAAATTGTGCAATTTTATTTTTCTAATTTCCTTTTTATCTGAGTAAAATAACTGGAAATTACTACAAGTTTTCCCTTCTATAGCAATGAGTTTGGTAAAGAGAGGAATGTGAATGAAGTAACATTTTTAATGGTCAAATTCAGTGTTTCATGATGTATTGCATGACATCATTTTGCAGTAGGTCAGTCTGTAAATAGGCATTGGAGGCAGGATTAAAGAAATCACTGAAGATTTCATGGACTATTTCGAAGTTGCAAGTCTCCTTTGTAGATTCAGATGCTAGTATTCCTTGTACTTGGAAGGAAGAGCCAAAGAAATGTGGATGAAATTCTGAATCATAGATTCTCCTCTCATCATTATATATAAAAAAGATTTTCTACATTATTTCAAAACAACATCTGTGTAAATTCAGACTTTTGAGGGAAGTTGAGCTCTGTGCTACCCAATCAATGCTGGATGCAATAAGAAATTAATGTATTTGAATTATGATAAAATGACATTGTTCATGCCTGATGGTGTTAGTGATATAAGGGAAGTGCATTTGAGAGTTTCTTTGAGAAGAATGGGAATAAGGACACATGCAGAATTTTGGAAAAATGTTGAAGAGATTTATATTTTGTAATAAAAGCTGACAAAGAGAACATAAAGATTTTCTGAGTTAAACTGAGGACTTAGGTGTATTGTAAAGAATTCCATGTATATGTTTATATAAATTCTAAATAGTTACTTGTGGGAAAGAAATATTAGTTGTAAGTGTGACTGAACATTGAGGTATTCGTAGTACAGAATTGTGAAAAAAAAAAAAAAAAAAGGCCCAGTGACAAAATTTTCTTAAGAAAGCTGCATATCATACAATGTATCTATGTTTCCAGAGACCAGGCAGGAATACATTTTTTCTTTTATTTTACTTTAGTTTATTAGTACACACATGTGTGTAGTACATAATGTTTACTTTCCTTATGGCAAGTTTGTGCATATACACAAGGCATCTTAATTCTTTTTTCCACCCCTTCCCCAATCTCTTGAGCACTTTCCTTTTTATATTCGTTTTTGCAGTACACAGTGTTTACATTCCTTGTGCGTAGTTTGTGCATGTACATAACACATCTCAATTTTCCCTCCCTTATTCCTTCCTTCTCCCTTCCTCCTTCTGTTACTTAATTCCCTTCCTTTTTGAGAATGATCTATCACTCCCTATTATCTGTCTTTTATTTTGTTCTCTCTTTTTATTCTGGGTCTTGTATATAAGAGAAACCATGTGATATTTAAGCTTGTGTGTCTGCTTTACTTCACTTCACATTATGGTCTCAAAGCCAGGCAGGAATACATCTGACAGAAATTTTTTATTTCACTTTAGGTGAGAATGATTCATATATATCAATAACTTTCTACAGGGACAGTTTTCTCTCTTTTTTCACTGAGGGCTTTCAAGAACTTTTCAAGTGTGTTAAACTGTCAGCATATTTTTCTCCCTAGTATGTGTAAATCACCCTCCAAAATAAGAATATCATTTTCATATAATTTACCTACACAACACTTAATAAAGTTTCTAACATATGGCAAACTCTGAAAGGATTCTTATATTGGGAACAAGAAAAAATAGATGTGGACCCTCAATATTGCCTTCAAATATCTCTCTCCTATATAATGTCAGACCTATGAAATACCTCGGTGTGCCATAGAGGTGTGGCTGCCTAAGCTGTTTGAAATTCACTGTACATCACCATATTCCCTGCATGATGGTCATGGAACCACAGCATAGGATATTTGTCCTGTTGGATTTTACTTGCTTTGATCCTATTCATTTCTATTCTCTATTTTTCCTTTTGACTGGGAATGTTTACCCAGTCACATTTTATGTTGGAAGCATGGAGCTTGTTTTTGAACTTAATTTTACAGAGGAGTGCAGCTGAGAATTTGCCCCGAGTCTCAGAGAAGACTTTGGACTTGTACTTTTGAGTAACCCCGGGATTGTGGGTGAGGGAATTAGTGCATTTTCAGTTGTATGCAGAATAGTTACATCTTTTTAATGGACTTATGACTTTGTTATTGTCTTTATTTGGAAGTTAAATACAGTTTTAGGAGATGAGTTTGGATATCAAGTTGACAAATGGTGGCCTTGTGATAGATAATCTTGATTGTCAACTTGATTGTATTGAGAGACCCTGGGAGATTATTAGTAACACATACCTCTGGGTACACCTGTGTGATGGAGCATGACCTGAAGATCTATATCCAGTCCCTGACTCCTTCCCTTCTGGTACTTTTTCTGACTCCCTGCTTCCTGGCTTCCATAAGATGAGCAGCCTTCTCTTGCCATGCCATCCTGCTATGACGTTTCTGCTTTGGACCACCTGACAATGGACTGCAACCTCTGATATTGTGAACTAAAATAAACCTTTTCTCATTAAGGTTCTGTATGGCAGATGTTTTGACCCAGCATCAAAAAGGTGAATAAAATAAACTTATAGACACAGTTTAAGAATCCAGACTTTAATTTAGCATACCCATATACTACAGAAATAGATATATATCTAGTTAAGATGTTTGAAGTCACCACTTTAAGAAAGTAGATTAATAGTTGTGCTGTTCATTTCATTTTAAGGTTTGCTTTGAAAAGAAAACCGTTCTGAACATGTCATGAAAGGAAATCTGTGGTGAACTGCTTCATTAGGGCTGAGGGCATAGCTCAGTAGTAAGCACTAGCCTATCAGGTGCAATACCCTGGATTCCAGCCCCATAACAAACTTCTTTAGTATAAGTAGTGTTACATGAAATTTCTTTAACCAGCTGGCTTCTTAGGGCTCTGCGACCATCCTGGAAATTGCTTCTTAATCACTTCTTAATCACTTAATCACTTCTTAATCACTTAATCACTCATCATTTTCTCAAACTCTACTCATTAGTAACAAAATATTCCTTCAAAATAAAACAAAACAAACCAGTCAGAAAAGGAAGATAAACATGTTTTAATCACATCTGATTCAGGTTCTAAAGTTTCTTTTTGTCTGCTGTAATAGAAAGTATGGTCTAAAAATTCCTGATAATTTTGGTCACATTAAATTGGTTTCTACTTCAGTGTTACTCTATTTACTATATCTTTTTCATAAGTAAGTTTAAATTGTTAAGGCATACAGAGGGACACACAGAAATATATCCTTTTAAGTCATGGGGTAAGATGTTCTTATGAAAGTAAAGACATGTCATCATACATCATACAATAGGGTTCGGCCATTCTGAACTAACCCTACAAATTTCTCTCAAATTTGCTTTAAAGTATGCATGTATGCAGGTTCCATTATTACACTGAATGTTGAATCCTCTCACACTCCATCCTTGAGAGGAAAGAAAGAAAAGCTTTCACATCCTTGCCTCTCATGTGTTAGATCCTATTTCCAAATCAGAACACTCATTTGCTTGTTTTTCTGCCCTAGGATTTGTGCGCTTGGCTGGAGGAGAAGGACTCTGCTCAGGGCGAGTGGAAGTGAATCCTGGAGGAGAATGGATCCCAGTGTCTGATAGGAACTTCACCCTTGCCACTGCCCAGGTCATCTGCGCAGAGCTGGAGTGTGGCAGAGCTGTGTCTGTCATGAGGGATGTGCCTTTTAGAGAGGCCATTCCACAGGTGTGGGGTGAGGAGTTCCGGTGTGAGGGGCAGGAGCCTGAGCTCTGGTTCTGCCCCAGAGCACCGTGTCCTGGAGGCAGCTGCCAGCACAGTGGAGCTGTCAAAGTTGTTTGTTCAGGTGAGATTCAGAGCTGGACTTTAACCTCTCTGGAAAGCCTGTTAGTAAGAAGAATGAGAGATGTTGCTGAATACCTGTCTTCTCCTCCCAGAGTTCACTGAAGTTCGGCTCACGAAAAACAGCACCTCTCAGTGTGAAGGTCAGGTGGAGGTGAACACTTCTGTGGGCTGGAGAGCGCTCTGCGCCTCCCACTGGAGTATGGCCAATGCCGATGTTTTGTGCCACCAGCTCGGCTGTGGAGTCGCCAGCTCAACCCCAAAAGGAGGAGCATACTTTGTGGAAGGAGGTGGTGAGATCAGGAAAGACAGATTCCACTGCTCAGGGGCTGAGTCCTTCCTGTGGAGTTGTCCTGTGACCTCCCTGGGTGTTCCCGCCTGTGCCCACGAGAACACGGCCTCAGTGGTCTGCTCAGGTAAGAGAGCAGTCAGGGTGCCTGGGACTTGGGATGCTCAGGGAGTGACACGTCTCTCACAGCAGACAGCAGGGAGCACTGACTTCAAAACTTTAATATCCTATAGTGAATGATGGTTCTGCTTACCATTCCTTTTTCAGGCCAGATAAAGGAATGTTAATGGAAATATTTTTAAAGACATTGTTAGACATTGTTATTTATTTATATTTTTTTGAGACAAGGTCTCACTATGTAGTTCAGGCCAGCCTCGATTTACTAGGTAACCCATTCTGGTCTCAAACTCACAGAGATCCTCCTGCATCAGCCTCCTGAGTTCTGAGATTGCAGGTGTGCACCGTCACACCTGACTCTACATTTCTTAAGTATAATGTGTAAGAATAGCTGTAAAACTCTGTTAAGTATGTCAGTGCTGATCAGCAGACATAATATTAGTAGCTCCCCCAGAATTCACCTGAATATCCCATCGGTCACAGTGCTCTCCTCTCCTGCACAGGAAGCCATTCTGACATCTGCTGACCAGAAATACTCTGTTCAAATTTGATCTTTATGCAAAATCATCCAGTCTCTTTTCCTTTTTTTTCTAATTTCTTTGCATCAATTCATGCATCAAATTCACCTATGTTGTGAAATTCAGCTAAGTTGTTATTTGTAGCAGAGCTTCATTCTTGTTGTTGAATATTCCACAGAATTAGCACATGAGCATGTTTTGATCTGTCAACTGATGGCAGAGATTTGAGCTGTTTCTAGATCTTAACTATTACAAACACTAGTGATGTAAATTGCCTGGGCTTTGACTTCTGATGAAATATTTACAAATGTACTTGCATTTTGAATCCCTAACCTTCTATTTTCATTCTTTTAATACAGCATTCTTTGCAAAGTCAATTTCTTATGTCTTTTGTTTTCTGAGACATGCTTTTAACTGTGTAGTCCAAACTAGCCTTGACCTCACTAAGTAGCTTATGTTGGGGTTAAACTTGCAATTATTCTGCTTTATCCTCCTGAGGGCTAGGATTACAAATGTGCACTGTGATACCCAACTCAAATTCTTAATTTCTATTTGAACACAATTTATGAACTGTTACCTATACATTGATTACATTGTGTCAAAGAAAACTGCCCAAACATCACAAAAATTTTCTCAAAAGCTGCCTTATGCATAAATGTGTATATTAATTTTCCTTCTTTGCATGTAATTTTGCAGTCTTTCTGGGATTTTTATTGTGCATTGTGTACTGGTTGGAGGAAAAGTTTCATATCATTGTTTGGATCCAGTTGACTCAGAATCCTTTCCTGCAAAGGTTTTGTTCCCTGCTGTGGTGCCATCTGTGTCATAAACAGAGCTGCGGTGTGTCTGAGTTTGTTCCTATAGTCTGTGTTGCAGTCTGTTCCTATAATATTTTCCTATAGTCTCATCTGTTGATCCTTGAACCAGTACCATGCCTTCTAGTTATCATAACGTTATAGTACCTCCGAGAAACTTTAGTGAAATTCAAGTGGCTCTCCTAATTGTGTTGCTTTTCTTGCCAAATATGTTGGTTTTTACTGGTTTTATGTATTTCTGCATAAAATTTAGAGTCATCTTGTCATATTTAACACTAAAAAAGCAAATAGTATTTTGATTGAGATTAGACCTATCTTACATATGAATTTGGAGATAAATCATATGTTAGGTTTCTAATTTCTATCAGGGCTTTTGAACAGTTTTTGCTAAATTTTTCTTATTTATTTATTTATTTATTTATTTATTTATTTATTTATTTATTGAGATGGGGTCTCACTATATAGTTCAGGTTGGCCATGAACTTAGTATGTAGCCTAGGCTGGCCTCAAATTCACTGCAGTCCTCCTGCCTCAGCCTCCTGAGTACTGAGATTACAGGTATGTACCACCATGCCTGGCTCTTTTATGTTTTTCATGTTACCATTATTTGTACAGTAATGTTCTAGGAATAAAAATTCTCTTTGACATGTTCTCAAATTTATTTTTCATGGAGTATTTTTGCATAATTAGATACCTACAAAAAGTTGCAATAATCGTATAATCATTTCCAAATGATATTTCCCCACATTTCCCAATGTTAGTATGTTGTATTTTCTGCCTTATTTCTGCAAATAATAAAATATTTCTGAATGAGTAGTAAAAAAGAGATGGTTGATATGACCATTTAACCTTAAAACAGAAAGGTCTGGCATAGTCAGAAGCAGAAATTTCCATGCAGAAAATGAGATATGAAGACAGGAAATCATTGTTCCTATATCACAGATTCCATCCCAGATGTCATCACTAGACTGTCTTTTGTGTAACTCAGGTCCCTACTCTCTCATCCTCTCTGCAGGAAACCAGACCCCGCTGCTGTCGCGAGGCAATGATTCCCTGTCTGACCCAGAAAGATCCACAGCCTCAGAAGTACAGGCTGCCTGCTGTTCAGGTGAGAACATCCCTAGGACAGAACCTGCTCCTTCCTGTGTCAGCACCAGTCACCTGACTGTCTTTCCTCAGACAGCGGACAGCTGCGCCTGGTGGAAGGAGGTGGTCGCTGTGCAGGGAGAGTGGAGATCCTGCATCAGGGCTCCTGGGGCACCATCTGCGATGACAGCTGGGACCTGAGTGATGCCCACGTGGTGTGCAGACAGCTGGACTGTGGAGTGGCCCTCAATGCCACGGTCTCTGCTCACTTTGGGCCAGGATCAGGGGACATCTGGCTGGATGAGCTGAACTGCACAGGAGAGGAGTCCCATGTGTGGAAGTGCCCTTCCTGGGGCTGGGGACAGCATGACTGTTGGCACAAGGAGGATGCAGGGGTCATCTGCTCAGGTCTGTGCTCATTCTCTCCACAGAGAGGGAGGGTGTCCAGGATGGTGTCTGAGCCCTAGGTTGGAGGGTTAGGTTGGAGAAGTTGTCTAAGGGGCTGAAAATGAGGAGGCTCCTTCCTAGGGCCTGCTTTTCTAGGAGAGAAGATGAGGTGCTTTCACTCACTCCTGTATCAGCTACTTCTTCCTTCTCAGCTCTGTTTCCCAACACTGTCATTTTCTACAGTGTCCACCAGAATGCAGGGCTCACTCTTCAGTTATCTGTGGGTGCAAAGCATGGAGGGCACATTCTTTGTTTCCTATTGCTGCTATAGTAAATTACCACAATACTGAGTGGCTTCAAACTGTAGAAATGATTGTCTTATAGCACTGTAGATGTCCAGTCCTTATCAGGCTGGATTAATAGCAAGGTGCCATTAGGCCTACATTCCTCTGAGGCTCTAGAAAGGTAGTTTTCTCCTTTTTCGAGCTTCTAAAAGTTGCCGGCATTCCTTATGTCCTGGTTCCTTCCTTCTTCAAACCAAATGCTTTGTAAATGGGGAAACATATGTGTATGATCACATCTCCTTCTGACCAATCTGGAAAGGTGATCTGCTTTTAGGATACAATTCTGATGATATGATTAGATAGGGCTCATCAGGCTAATTCTGGGAAATCCAACATAATATCACCATGAAAGATCCTTATTTTAACCCTGTCTTCAGAGCCTCTTTGCCATGTGAGGCAACATATTTATAGGCTACAAGGATCAGAAAGTGGAAATATTTGGGGTCCACCATTCTGCCTGCCCCCCAGCAACCATCCACATTCTTTTTCACATGGTCTATGAGATGTTCAACAGGATTCAACATTCCTCCCTACAGATCACCTAGGCCAGGGTTCCTACTCACTGTCCATGACATCATTGTGGCAGAAAGAGAAAGTTGGTTCAAGTTTGCAAAATGAGTAACAAGGATAGAAGTTTCAGTCTTTCCACACAGTGGGAGCTTTTTCAGCAGAACAGCAATGAGCATTCATCACTTAGGTTTAAAGAAAAAGCAGAGCACTAAGAATTGACTCCTCACTGTGCTGTTTTCCTCCTTTGTGTTTCAGAGTTCCTGGCCCTCAGGGTGGTGAGCGAAGACCAGGAATGTGCTGGGTGGCTGGAGGTTTTCTACAATGGGACCTGGGGCAGTGTCTGCCGCAGCCCCATGGAGGATGTGACCTTGTCAATGATCTGCAGACAGCTTGGCTGTGGGGACAGTGGGACCCTCAACACTTCTGTTCCTCCCAGGGAAGGTCCTAGACCCCGGTGGGTGGATGGAATCCGGTGTCAGAAAACTGATGTCTCTCTCTGGCAGTGTCCTTCTGACCCTTGGAACTCCAGGTCTTGCCTTCCAAAGGACGAAGCTTATATCATGTGTGCAGGTGATCTACTATTTCCTTGTGTCTATCTCTAGCCTTGTGTCTGTCAGGAAGGTGGAGGTCAAACTTCAGTTACATGAATCACTTGAAATTGGCTCTCATTCTGTTGAGTTTTTCACATAGTATAATTCATCCTCACAATAAACTGTTTTTGGGTGTTATGAAATGAGTTAGGTGAGGCTAGAAAAAATTAAATACAAGTTCAAAATCTTAAAGTACATTATAATCAGTTTGGGAATCTATGTCTACTTGATCCATATTTTAAACCTGTGGTTCTTTACTCTGAAATGCATCTACAACACTCAGACAAGTTCTGAGATAAATATTTTGGAAGAAACAAATTTAGAACCTTGTAAAAGAAAATTAATTCCAGACTAGACAAGAAAAGGAAATATAGTCACTCCTTTATGAAGTTTACTCTGAAGAGTACACAACATATATTAGGCCAAAAATTGAATGTCAAGCATTGGACACTGCTGTAGATGCGTGTATGTCAATGAATAAAGGAAGTCATGCTTAGGTTGAACCATGAAGGATGAGGAGGCTTCATTCAAGGAAGAAAGTAGAGAGATCACTTGGTCATTGTAAACACCGATTGGGAAGCATCATGTCTCTAAGATACTAAAACAACTGCTTCAAGCCAGAGCACAGGCAGCATGTGGGAGTCACACAACAACACCTGAAATGGTGGACATAGACAGTGGTATCTTTTAAACAAAGACCCAATAACAATAACAATCTTGCTGCAGAGATATTTGTTTATGGTGTTTTCTGCCTCATCATGAGGAACTGTGGAAAAGTTGGGGAACTGGTGTCCCCACATTTTCATATTGAATTTCTCTTATAAGAATCCCAGATTCTTGGATGAGACTTCATCATCCAAGTTATTTTCATTTTAATGCTCTAAACTAATAGCCCCCCCACCCCTTGCCTGAATTTCAAGCCTGTCATCTTCTAGTTTCTTTGTGCCTGAAATGTTCCCATCTGTCTGTATTCTGATCAATCTGTTCTCTGAAAACATTAGACCTCCAATCACTTAACTACAACAGAGACAGCATTCTGGCCTCTCAATGCATTGAATTTCTCATTTCTTAAGCACCTTCTTTCTATTCCATCTCCATCTATGACTACATCATTGACCAGCAGTAGGTGGTATACCTTCGAGATCTTGCTCTGTTCTCTATTTCTTATTCTCCTTAGGACAGAATTCCTTGGTCTTTATCTAAATTTTGTCCTGACTAATTTTCTCCTGTTCACATTTTTCATGTTTGTACATATTTCTCTAAATCATATTAGAGAAGATCATCCAACATTAGAAGCTTTCTCCTAATGGAGAAGTACACACAACTCCCTTTCCTTATCTTTTCTAGTGAAATACAGGAAAAATTAAAATCATCTACCTAGCATTTCCTTGCCTGTACTAGACTAGAAAAAAGGACTAGTGAATAATGTCCAATTATTGTGCAATTATCTTGGAATAGTGCATAAGTGGTGTACACTAGTTTGTAATTAATGGGTACAGTCTCTTATGGTCATTCCACACTGTCTTCAGTTTCTAGTGTGCTTTTCTGACATGTACACTTGCCAAACCGTGGTATTTTACATAGTCTCTGCTCTGTACACACTGCCCTTTTAACTCAAGAATCTACACTTAAATGGTTCTTTTTTCTCAAATTTAATTGGGAGAATAAAATTTTCAACTGCAAATTCTTCTTTCTTTTAAATCTACAAATGTGCATCTGGTGCCCACTCCCTACCTGGTTTCCTGGATGAGTTGCCTTTGTCTTCATTTTAGACCAGCTCTGCTTCTGGGCTCCTGATCCTAACCCACTGATCCTGTCAAAGACTTCCTGTCTTCAATGTTTCCCTCTTCCTGTGCTCCATCAGTCTCAAACTCTGCCCTCTCAATTCATTCCCACACATGTAATATGTGTTTACTTTCTCACATCTTCAAACTCACATAAGTTTGAAATACTTTGCCCATTGTACTCTTTTCTCTAGTTACAGTCCCATTGCTCTTCTCCCCTCCACCGACAAAATCTCCAAAAGTTTTGTCAATAGTCACTGGTTCTACTTTTGATGTCTCTGATTATGCTGAATGTAGTCCAATTAAAATTTAGATTGTTCTACTCAGTATACACATGAGATACTCAAAGATTTAAAGAAATAAGATGTAACAACTGCATATCTTTTAATAATGCCTGTCCTCTCATTAGCATTCAGCTAATTGAATTTGTCCTTTTCTGTCCCTCTCTAAGGTTACTCTACCTTATGGAATACTCTTCTCCTTTTGTATTCCTGAATTTTGCTACTTTGTTCAGGTTTTAGATCTAGACATGCTCTGGTATCAGCCTCACTCTCTCTGCTGTTCCTTAGCGACACTCCTTTCTTATGAGATCTTGCTGAGATCTGTGGTCTTAGAGGTTATCATCACAGTGAAACCTCCCAAACACGAACTTCCAAAGCCCAACTCTGCCCTGAATTCTAAACTTATGTATTTCACTGCTAATTCATATCCTCCTTAAATATCTAATGGGCATGTACAATTTGGTGTGCCATGTACAGTGCTTAATTCCACACACACAACCCCTGCCTCTAACTTTTCCTTCTTGCTATAGTCACATTTCAGCTAATGTCATTTTTATTCCCCAGTTACTTAGGTTCAGTCCACCTCCACTCTCCGTTTCTCTCTCCCTCCAACTGCAATAGTAAATTATGTTGTCTTTATCAGCAAATATCTCTTTAATCCTCCTACTCCTTCTAGCTCACTGTCATCTCAGTTCAGGACATATTGCTTGTTGTTAGGGTCTAAGACCAGTTTTTTTTTTCCAACAGAATTCACTGGCCACCTCTTTTGTGCTCTTTTTCTTTTATAATATTTTCTCTATTCAATACTAAAAATATTTTCATTTCAGTTACAAGTTGATGTATTGATGTGTGAGAGGTTGGCCTGCATTTGAAGTGACATTGGCACATATCCTCTTGTATCTCAGGAAGAAAAATAACTGGAGCATATGTCACAGGATTCTGTAATTAGCCTGTTGAGGAAAAATGCTAGGAGATATGTAGCCAGCTTGTTGTTCTTAGACTCTGAAGGTCTTTACAAGAACAAGGGAGGAGATGCTCTCTGAATTGCTGCAGGGGATTAGACTCTCACTGGTGGGTGGAAATCAGTAGGTTTGGGTTTTGTTTGAGTATAAATAATATAAACAAGGCTCAGCCAAGTGAGGTCCCTGGAACCATTTGGTGCTGTCTGGAAAAGAGCACTGGAGGCACAGAGGGACCTTTTAGATGAGGGGTAGTCAGCTCACCTTCCCTTACCGCCTGCCTTCTTCTCTCTGCCCTGAATTGACACTTGTGCCTGCTATATTTGCACAGGCTTGATCCTAAAAAATGTATGTTCTTCCCAGTAATTTGTTTTAGGCTTAGAAAGTAAATACATCTTTTTTATTTCACTGAAATTATAACAACATTATTTCTTTTTGTATCCAAGGAAAGCATGTAAAAATTTTACAAATATATATAATATCACATTACCCCCAGTCCAGTCATATTCCCATGACATAAATTGGATTAATTAAATGATAAGAACCATTTTGTAGATCCTCCATTTTTGTACAAAGTGTTTCAACTTATACAGTGGTACCTTGGTTCATGAACTTAATTTGTTCTACAATTTTGGAAAGATGACCACATTGTGTTTGTGTGGGAAAGATGGTCGAAGTTGTGTTTGTCACTCAGTGCAGAGTTTGCAAACAAAAACAAAATTTTGCCAAACACTCTGTTTGCAGACAAAATTATTTGCAAAGAAAAAGTTCACTAACCAAGGTACCACTGTATACCCATTAAAGGTAGATCTTTATGATGTCTTTTTGCTTTTACGACATTGAGCTAATATATACATATTATTTCTAAATTGGCTTTTGCAAATAAGGAAATTATTATGGATACTCCTTCAGGAAGATCTACATCATTGGTAAAACAACTGCATAATATACAAATACTATATATAATGGATTTTTTATTTATTTCAAAATGTTTTCAGTTTTTCTTTCTACAAAAAACATTTTAATAAATACTTGTGAACATGAATCACTCATGTTGGTACTTTTATTGCCTGCCAGTAACTGTATTAGTAGATCACAAAATGTAATGAATAGAAATTGTCGTATTGTTTTCTAGGACCAGTAATTTTCAACTGGCTTCTCATTTATTGTCATAGAGCATTAGATTCTTTTTTTTTTTTTTTGATGACTTGTCCATTAAGACCAACTACATTACAATGCTCAAAAATCAGCAAGGTTTCATAGCTTACATATCTCATTCTAAGATATTTTAAATCTGAAGTAAATACACAGATTGCATTATTTCATAATTAAAACCTACTGAAGCACCAGAAGTTCAGTATTGAAAAGTACTTATGTATTTCGTTCCTTTCTTCCATCCTTCCTTTACAATTAAACATTCCTCACCTCCCTTCAAAATTCCCTTTTCCTCTTGATTCTTTCCATTACTCTCTTTGTCTCTGTCTGTCTGTCTGTCTGTCTCTTTGTCTTTCTGTGTTTGTTGTCTCTGTCTGTCTTTCTGTTTCTCTGTCTCTGTCTCTCATCCCTCATTAGGTTTTTTAATGTTGTGCTGAGTGACATCCAGATGCAACTGGAGAGGATATGATGATAAATATTTCAAAGGCAGTTGCTTTCTCTCTTCTTTGCCTTTCTCTCTTCTCCTTTTTTCTTTGCTCTGTGGTGGCTGAAGGGATATTAAATCATAAGGCCATAGACTGATTTTGTATTTCTTACAACGAGAAACCATTCCTTGAGAGGTAGGGAGGTCTCCAGTCCTGAGAGTGAGCAAGCAGCCCACAGAGGTCCTTAACAGGATCAGAGATGATCTAGGAGGCTTGATAGGATAATTTGGAAAATATATACTAATTATGGTATTTTAGCATAAGTACTCTGTATGTAACTGGTTTCTCTATATTGTTTTGCATTCACATATATTTCTATAAGCTTCAGTTTTCTCTGTATGTTTTTTGTTCTATATTTCTGTCATCTGAGGTGTTATTTCTCCTTCAATTTTGAGCAAATGTTTCTCACATACAACTATTAGGTATTGTACTCTTACCTATCATTCTGACTCCTACTCCTTGTCCTCCTGTTAATAGAAATCATTCTGTTATTTTTGGTTCATAATTTTACATTAAAAATTAAATGAAACATTGAATGATAATTACTTTTTGATTATGTACTAATGGAAGTCATTAACATTAATTTGCATTTCTCTTATTTTCCCATTATTAGCAACAACTTAATATTTTTCAGTAGATTTTATGCAATTGAAACTTATCAAGCCATTACTCATAGCATTCAAAAAAGTGTGATAAAAATACTTGGTGGCTGTTGCTGAGTGCCACTCAATGCAAAGAAAGAGGTCTTTAATAAGAGAAATGGCATGTCCTAGTAACAACATGTGATACTTTTCAAGGAAGTTTAACAAATTTAAATTAAAGGCAAGTCAGTGTGAAATTTCTTCCATGTGGTTTGACTGTAGAACAAAAGCAAAAACATTTGTCAATTTTTTTGGAGTTGTTTGACCTCACTACTGTAGATTCCAGGTTTTTAAGAGAAAAATGAATTAAGATTTTATATATGTGTGCCAGCTCCCCACAAGAAATGTAATCATTATATACTGCAAATATGTAGTAATTAAAAAACAGAAATGGCACCACAGGAGTTGAAACTTGGGTCTATGGTTTCATTCCTGAGACAACTTCAGAATTCTCAGTGGAAATCACCCAGGTCTCCTCATGCAAAGTAAAAGCATATCACTCAAGATCCAACATCAAGGTGATATTGATCATGTTATGTGCCCTCCTGTTGTCAATCTAGCCTGAGCCTGGGATCTTAGGGAGCCTTAGGACCAACCTCAGCCACCCCTGACCCAGGCCTCCCCACTCTATTCCTGCAGGACAAAGACCCAAGAGCTGTCCAGACTCTGCGCCCTGCACAGGTACTGTAACGGCAAAAATCACCCAGCAAAAATCAGGCTGTGTTCAACAAGAGACTGACTCTTTTAGGGTAAACAGAGTTTAATTTTAATTTAGACCAGTCACCTCTCATCCTTGACTTGCAGGTCAAGAATATGGATGTGGGTCTGCCTTTGCACCCACCTTATATACATGTTTAGTTTCCATGGTAACAGATTGGCATGCTGTAACCCTGGCCACATGTTGTTTTCCTTGTGCCACATAACCGAGTCTGGCTCCCCCAACCACAATGATTTATACTTTCTGTACTCTGTTTTATATGTCCCCCTTTAGATAACCATGCATTTCCTTTATGGTTGCAATGTTTATCTAGGGCCAGGGAAGGGATGAAACAACCCAGGCGGGGTCATAGGTGGTTATCTGGGCCCGGCTGTTCTTTGTCTTTATGGAAGCATTCCAGGGCTAAGTCAGGACTGCAAAGTTAACTTTTACAACCCCTCTGGGATGTTTCTCAAGACACATTTTAAAGCTTGTATTAAGACTAAAATTATTCTGTCTTAAAATGATATGCTAAGAGTCGCCATCCCCTACAGTACCTCAGCTCCTCCTTTCTTCCCTATGGCCCCCAGGGGCTCCTTCCCTCTACCAGGGCAGTAAGAGGAGGTGCTGCTGTCTTTCCAGACCGAAAGAAGCTGCGGCTCCAGGGAGGAGACAGCGAGTGCTCAGGGCGTGTGGAGGTGTGGCATGAAGGCTCCTGGGGCACAGTGTGTGATGACTCCTGGGGCCTGGCAGAGGCTGAGGTGGTGTGTCAGCAGCTGGGCTGTGGCAGTGCCCTGGATGCCCTTGGAGAGGCTGCTTATGGCTCTGGAAATGGAAGCATCTGGCTGGATGAGGTGCAGTGCAGGGGCAGGGAGTCTTCCCTGTGGGCCTGTGCCAGGGCACCCTGGGGACAGAGCGACTGCAAGCATGAGGAGGACGCAGGCGTGAGGTGCTCAGGTGAGTGGCAGGGTCAGGGGTATGGGCTGGGGCTGCAGGAGTGTGTGTATATGTGTGTGTGTCTGTCTGTGTGTCTCAGAGTCCTTCCTAGACTGCTCTCTGCCCTGTGCTCTGGGTCTTGAGAGTCTGCACTCCGAGCTCCTGGCATGTGGGAAAGGAATATGTGCAGCAATAGTAGGTGCAACCTTGTTATTGTCCAATCAATGAAGTGCACTGACGTCAATTTCCTTCTCTTGTCTTCAGGTGAAAAAATGACTGTTCTCTCCGCCCCTACAAGTAAGTGGTTCTTCTGCTCTGTGCCATGTGATAAAGGACATACTCAGATTTTCAGAAACCTACACTATGGAGTTTAGCATACTCCTTACAAAATTCCTGTAGACATAATGATCAGTTAGAAACAGCAATACAGTTTGTTAAGTTGTAGCAGCAAAGGGCTCTCATGGCTCACCAGCATTACTATAGAGAAATCCCTTAGAGTCAGGCTGAGACAATAGTTGACACAGGTTAGTGTGAGATCTGGGTTGCTGTGTTTGGGTTTGGGTAGATCCACCATATCCTGTGGGCCTGGGAGATGACTGAGATAAGTGTATTCTTCTGAGTTTATGAACATCTCTAAAGTCATTTTTCCTTCTCAGGCACCAGTTCAGTCTCAACCTCTTTCCCTGGCAACTTCTCCTTATATGCGATCCTCTGCATCATCCTGGGAACCCTTCTCTTCCTGCTCCTCATTATCTTGGGAACACAGCTGGGCAGATGGAGAGCAGGACATCAAGGTGACGTTTAAGGGTGAAGTTGATCCTGAAAGTATGTAGGGAAAAGACTGAACTAGTTATGACTTTTTAAAGATACAGATATTTAGCTTCCATTCTTGTTTTCTGGGAAACTGTCTTCTGAATTATAAACTTCAAGACTGAAAAGACTTGAATACTTGGACTTGGATTTAATTTGGAAGCTCTCAAATATGATGGTGTAACTGAAAAATGTCAGTAAAACTGTTTAGGATGCATTTAGGGTCATAAGACCTATGTATGTACCTTCAGAGCACAGATGTAAAGAATGAATGCTAGCAACCCAGACTGTTTTCTCTAAGGAGATCACTGGGAAACAGAATGATTGTCTGGTTGTAAGACATATGCCTATAAACTCAAGTTGCTTTCTCTAGCCTTAGCTGCTTCTGAAGATGCTGTTAATGAGGCTGTGTACCAAGAGATAGAGTACCTTGTGAAAGCAGAGAAGTTGGATCTACTGGACAACCCAGGTGTGTTCCACACCCTCCTTTCTGTTCATGAATTGGTTGTAGTGTGCATATCTTCAATAAGCACTGACCCACCATTAACTCAACCTTACAGGGTGTGTTAGTTATCTTTCCATTACTGTAATAGAATGCATGAGGTAATCAAATTATAAGAACAGCAGTTTCATTTTGTCTCACAGCTTCAGAGATTTCAGTACATGGCCACATGGCCTCATTGCTGTGGGGCCTATAGTGGAACAAATTTCTCACCTCATGATTTCTCGGAAACAAAAAGAGAGAAGAGGTCAAGTTTCCATATCCTCATGAGAGTGTGTCTACAATAATTGAAGACCTCCCACCAACCTCATTTGAAATTTCTACCACATTCTTATAGCACAAAACTGAGGACATAGCTGTAAATACATGAGTCACTGAATAATATTTGAAAACTAAGTCACAGCCCATAGTCAGCCTCCTCCTAAGACAGGAACTCCAAGCCCTTTATCTACAGGTATAAAGCCTGGAGATTTTCTCTGAACCATCCTATTGGAATCCTTCCAAGTGTCTGTCTAATATGCTTTCCTTGAACCAGGAACTGCATCTGATGACTCAGCAACTAAGCTGCCCTATTACACAGGAGACAATGAGGAGGTTGGAGACCATGAATCTGCCCCAGGTACAGAGCCAGGTCTTCTCTTGGTTGATGGGGTGAGCAGGAGGAATCTCATTTGAGGAGAATGTCCTGCTGTGACTGTGATGGGAAGCATCATTTATTTTTCCCTCGTCTGCCCACCCTAAAACATCTGGGAAAGAAATGGTGCAGTTATTTTTGATATCCAAAGCTATTTATAATGGGCCACAAGCATACCTAAGATGTACTGTTATATTGAAAATGTATGTTTCAAAAATAGAATTTTAAAGTGAACCTCTCAAAGAGTCTGTAGTGAAGGAGGACATTAAGAATAATATCCTTGGGGCTGGGGATTTAGCTCAGTGGCACAGCTCCTGCTTGGCAAGTGCAACATCTTGGGTTTGATTCCCAATACCAGAGAAAAACAACAACAACAAAAAAAGTCCTCTTTCCCTGGTTTTCACCCTAAGCTAGTGATGTATGAATCATTGTGTGTTTTATATGAGTACTGAGAGCAAAATATTTGCTAATCCTTCAAATACATTAAGTGCCAGGAGATTTTCTCTACAAAGGACCCCATGCATAGAAATATCCACTCTAAATATTCTCCAAGTGGTAAAGATTTATAGCTCTTAGGGGGGGATATAACCAGGATGACACTGAGGCTGTGGGATTCTAAGTTCCACACAATACTAGGGGATGTTGAAATCCATACCTTCCAGGATTGGATTGTTTTATTGTATGTCTGTGAGTGATAGAAGCCCAAGTTTTCCTCCCGTCACAGCTCTGTGTCTCTCACTGCCTCAGAGAGCACATGGTAGCCTGAATTGTCTTGGTCCAAATTCAGTCTGCCTCAGTCAGTGATTCTTACTGATCTTGTGTCCAAGTATGTGCTATATGCCTGAAAGTAGCACTTAAAACTCTTAACATAATGACTTTTTGTTGTTTTTCAGTATGAGAAGCCATTTCAGTAGTTATCATTGATCTTAATACATTGTAATATTTAGAAGATTTACAGAATTCCTAAGAATATTGAGATCAAATGTGCAACTTTGAGGCAGCCTTGGAATATGTTGCCTAACCTACAATCTCTGCATTTACAATACTTAAGAGTTAGTCCAACACATAGATTTTGCTTCCATCTAATCTTTATCTGTTTTCAGAACCTCCAGGGCAGCATGTTGATGCCACAGGAAATGGTTATGATGATGTTGCAGAGATACTTGTTCCAGAAATCCCTTCTTCCCTTGGGAGGAGTGAGAAGTACTTTGTTTCAGAAGAGAGAGATGCTATCAGGTATTTTTAGACTTGGCTATCTTTGATTGTTCTTACAATATGCATCATAGTGTCTAGCTATGCATCCCTGTAACCAATCTTTTCTATGAGACAAAAGCAACCAGAACTGCACCAGGAACAGGAAGAGACATTATTTAGGCCCATCTGTTCTGTAACATTAACCTGGCAAGGTAGTAAGGGATTTAATCTGATCTAAGAAAGTGTCCAGTGTGCCTTGGATAATCATCAAATCTTGGGCTAGTGTTTGGTTGATTCTTCTATTCTCTTGGAGCAACCACCCATAAAAATTAAGACCAAAACCACAGCTATCAGGGGAGTGGGGAAGAAGGACTGGGGTTAGCAGCCCTGAAAAGGCCAAGGGGAATATTGCATTGAGGTATGGAGCAATCCTGTGAATAGTGCCCTCAGGCTTCAGCCATGTGTGGACTGGTCAGTGTCCAGAGTGAGCAGAGCAGAGCATTGAGTGTGTCATCTCTTCAGAATGAGCTGTCTGGGCCAAGTAAATTCTCTACTGGATCTAAGGCTGGATTTGAGAAACTTGTAGTTGTAGTTAATATGCACCTGGATTATATGTGTGTGTGTAGGAGTGTCCACAGGTATAGCTGGTAGCTGGACCCTATTGTCTTTTCAGTGTGGATTGTCTTTTCAGTGTGGGTAGGTAATGTCTTGAGACAGCCTGAGTAGGTGCAGATGAGCACTAACAGATATTTGTGACTCATAAAGTTTTATTTCTGTGTAATGTATCTATGTATCTTTAATTTTAAAGAGTCTACTATATCACATGTAGTCAGGGCCAGTGACACAGATGCTGAAGCTTGAGCTGGCTTCAGGAGTATGGTTGCCAGTACTGTGGCTTGAATTTGCAGAACATATGGTGTGAGAAAGTCTGGCTCTGAACTTCCAGAAGGGCTGGGTTATATTTTTCTTGCTGAGGTTGATGTTTCAGTCAATTGGATTCCCACAGGGGGCTTGTGCCTCTGGATGTAATTATTTTGCATTGGTGGCAGGTTTTCAAACACCATCAGGAAAGAATAGCAGGAGAGCTTTGGAGAAAATATCTTTGTCCAAGGTGACCACAACATGTCTAGCCTGTCAGTCTCCATTCCTAACAGAGTTACTTCCACCCTTAAACAGGGTGTACTCAGCACCTGTCAGGGGTTCCATTTTAAAGTCTGGTTGTCTTGAGAACAGGTCATCTGTCAATGCCAGGCAGTCAGGATATTGTGGGCCCAGCTTTGTGGGCAGGTACGTGGCAAGATTGTGTGGTCCATAGTTTTTCAGGATGTCTAATATAGCATGTGGCACCTGGACAGTTAGGTCTTGGCCTAAGATGAGCTTGTCAGGTTTTTTGATCAGAAGGACAGTGGCTGTTAGTGTGCAAAGGCAAAGAGGGGAGGCAGACCTTAGTATCTGGATCCAAGTATTTGCACAGGCATTGTTTTTGTGAACTAAAGGCTCTAGATTCTATGGAAACCAGCAGTTCCAAGAAATTTGCAGAATTACTTTTCTGTAACTGGTTTCTGCTAGATACTACAGCAGAGCTTTTGTGTCTTTCCAGCTGGCAGCTTGGGTATCATTAATCAAAAGTGCAGTAATATTTTGTGCTGGGACACTAGTGAGGTCATCTCTGAGGGCTTTTCAAAACAGGGTAAATAAGTTTTTGAACTGTTGGTAGATTAAGTCTTTCTCTGTGACTTTTGAGTCTATAGCTGCAATTTTATCAGAAGCAAAGAGGGCTTGGCTGACAGAAGCCAATTGAAGGCAATTTTTAGGTTTAGGCAGGAGTACCAGTAGGCTGTGGATGGCAGAAGACTGAGATAATGTATATAGAGGGCAACTATGGTGGCATTGGCAGCTTTACAGGATCTTGAACTGGCTTTACAGGCAGGAGAGATGTATTTTATTTTATTTTCTTATTTTAAAGAGTGTAGTAAATGAGAAACAAACAAACAAAAACATAGAACAGTAGCAGCATATCAGTACCATGAACATAAACATTCAAAGTGATACAGGGTCTCAAGACAAATTAATACAAATCAACATGGTTGTTATGTTGCATACCACTATCCTCAACTACATTGCTCAGATTATCAGATGCAAGAATGGAAGATTGCTCAAACCATTAAAGAGATTAAGAAAATAATCCTTCAATAAAACATAAGAGATATTAGAGAGTTTCACTAGACAAGATGGTAGGAGTTCACCATTGTAATTCCATTGCATATTGTTACCTTCAAATCAGTTGCTCAGACCACCAGACACAAGCATGCAATATCGATCAGAACATAAAAAATTGTAAGCATTAACTGTTCATTTCAATATACCACCAGGCATCAGCAATACAGTTATCACAGCAATACAGTTATTACAGCTATGCACTTTGATAGTCTATAAACATTTTGTGGTCCTAAAACTTCTGGATGTGTGTTTGAATTCCTAGATGGGCCTCTTGTGATGTGGGGTACTGTTTAATACAGGTGGGGGTTGCCTCAGAATGGAGTTTCACGATCAGCCTTTTCTTGGGGGGACAGTCTATCCCAGAGAAATGCAGCTGGATGGGACAGAGAAACAGGCTTGGAGAAAAGGTGCTGGTGGTTTGGCTAACTCTGTTGCCAGAGCCTCCCCAGAAATAGGAAAGTTCCCAAACCCTTGTGTCAATTTTGTTCAAGTGAGTTGGAACAGTCTAAGAATGATGTATGATTTGGGAACCACAGAGGGCAAGGTGATGGCTGCATTGTTAATGGCAGTTTACAAGCAGGACAAGAGTGTTCTTCCTATGACATAGGAGATTGTCTGACAGAAATAGGGGTTGCAGGCCTGGAGGTAGGAGAGTTTTAAGAATTTCAGGGTCACAGTTATCTGTCTCAGAATGATGCATACATCATTTTCCTTTTGGGGAACAGTTGGAGTTGAAAGGGCAGGGTTAAATGAGACAGAGGCTGACTGGCTTGGTGTAAAAGAGATGGTTGCTTCTAACTTGAAGAGGAAGTCTCTTCGCAGAAGCAGTATGGTGAGCTGTCCTCCAAGGAAGCAAATTTGTGCCTGCCAGAAAGGGTGAGAAGCAAGTGTCCCAGTTGCCCCACTTTGTCTGACAGAGGGTACTTTAAAAATATTTCTTTAGCTGTTTATTTTTTGTTGCAGAAGAACAAACCCAGGACTTCTAGTTTGCTAGATAAGCATTTTACCACTAAGCTAAATCCCCAGCCCAGACAGAGGGGATTTTTGAAGGCAGAGAGTTCTGTTCCACTGTCTACCAGGAAAGTCATAGGTTTGCCCCCAACTTTTGCAATAACCCTGGGATCTTGGGGGCCCAATTTGATAAAGCTTGGCCTGTCCTATCTATCCAGGCCTGACAGGGCAAGAAGAGATTCAGGTTGAGGTGGGCCTGAATATTCAAGTTTCTTTGTGTCTCACAGATAGAGGGGCATTTATATTTTTAGTGTCCACAGTCCTTATATCAGGCTTCTGAGTAACGGTAGTAACTTCTGATATACTGATAGCTTCTTTGATAGCTTTGAGAATCACTTGACTGATTTTAGGTTTCTAGGTAGTGCAACCTTTGGAAAAGCCATGGAAACTCATTCATTAAGGCAGACAGTCTGGGGCTGGGAAATTGGCTCAGCAGCACAGCTCCTGACTGGCAAGCGCAAGGTCGTGAGTTTGATTCCCGGTACCAGAAAACAAAACAAAACAAAACAAAACAAAACAAAACAAAACAAAACAGAAAAAGGCAGACAGTCCAATTTTTCCTCAGTCAAAGTATGGAACTCAAAAGGAATTGCTGACAGTCATCTCAGGTGGGTACTAGATGATGCCTTCTGACCAGGGTAGGAAGCAGAAGGCTCTGGAGGGAGGACCTCTGTGGTCAAATGCAAGCAATGGCTAGCTGGAAGCAGTTCAGTTGGCTGCAAGTAGATGAGTTGGAGTGGGGAGTGAAGCTGTATGTGTTGGCAGCAACTGCTGCAGCCAACGAGGGTGTGAAGGTGGAATTCCCAGGAAGAATGGGCCTCTTTTTTTCCTTTGAGATGCAGAGGGTGATTTGTTTTGCTTTTAACTACAGAAAGGCCCTTTTTCCTGAAGTTAGTTCTGTGGGTTTTGACTAATGAATTCTCATCTCCGACTTCCTACGTGTGTGTTGTGTACTCTTGAATGACAGCACAACAAAGGGTGGGTGCCCCTCAGAGAGAGACCATTCAGATGCCCACTTGATCGTGCTCCTCATGGCAACTTAGGCATGAATCTCAGCTAAAGAGGGTGAGGGACCTCCATTATGCCTCTCCTGGAACCGCAGATGGCCCAATCAGCCACTGTGACCAGTGCTTCCCAGTCTTGATGCACAGATGGGGCACCTATTGCTTGTGCCGTCCATCCTATTCACTCACACATTCATTCAACAGGCACTCAGAGGTTAAACCATTCCAACCTCCTTCCCTCGAGGGTGGTCCTGAGCAACAAGAGTTGATCAGA